CTGGAGCCAGGCGTGGTTGTGGTTTAGGGTTTAGGGTTTAGGGTTTAGGGTTTACGGTTTAGGGTTTAGGGTTTAGGGTGTCTTCAGAGTGAGCAGCGGGTACAGGACTGGTCTGCCCACCCCTACCACCCGGAGTTCAAGATAACACAGATACGGTTTTTCACACAACCACAACTCATGGTGGGGTTCATCGTCCACGCGGCAAGTCCAAAATCAGCAGTGAGAATTGAGCAGCATGATGCATCTGTAGAGGTTGTTGATCATCAGCAGCATCAGTATGATGATGATGGTGATGATGATCAGTGAGCCGCCAGGGCGCTTGGGGTAGGAGCCGCCAGCGAGGCACCCCGCTAAGTCATTTCGGTGGAAGAAGCCAGAGCAAGGCGAGGGGAGGGACCTGGCAAATCATTTCCGTGAAGGGGGGGTTGCCGGAGCAAAGGCGGAGGGGGCCGGGAGGAAAGGGGGGGGGGGGGGGGGGGCGGGGCAGCCCCTCAAAAGACTCAAAACTCGGGAAGGCTAGAAAAGAGAAGTGCCGGAATGACCGCGTCTGTTTCGAAAACTTCGGAGGTTTCTAAAAAAGTAAGACTCAAGATGGCTGTGCAAGAATAAGTTCCCGAATGACCGCGCCTGTTTTGGAGGTTCTTGGAGCCATTCAAAAGACTCAGGAGGCCCACGATGGCTCCCCGAGAATAAGTTCCCGAATGACCGCTGACCGCGCCGTGGGGGCAGTTGTTGGGCGTGGGGGAACTAGGCTTCTTCTGACGCGGGCTATGTGCGGGACAGATCTTTTTCGATAGTTATTGTCTCTGGGAGGGTTCCTATTATGATAGATGTTTTCCTGACGCGTGCTATCTCTACGAGAGATCTTTTCCTGACTTTTGTTTTCTGTCGGACAACGCTTCGCCGGTCTTCTTCGTTTTTTGTTATGTCTGGGACAGATTTACAGGAGGGGCCTGCGTGGCACAGAACACTTTTTTCGGATTTTTTTTCCTGCTCCAGTGTGGGTCATGCACTCATGTCCATCTTTGACGCGGCAACTCGAGCTCAGTGTAGCAGTGCGTCAAGCTTCGTTGGACATGGCGCCAAAAGGATTCAAGCGTCTGAGGCCAACAGAGTTTTCCTTGGACATCGCGCCCGAGGCCTTCAAGCGTCTCAGGCGAACAAGTGACGTCATCGATGTAGAGACCGACGAGGACGAGGACGACAAGAAGGACGAAGAGCACGTCGAGAAGAAGCTTCCTGGAGCAACCCGCAAAAAGCTCGCCCGCAAGCACTTCTGCCACGGCCGGGCGCAGCTTCGCTGCTGCTACTCCGGCAGCATACCCGGACAAAGAGCACGGCCACACTCCGGAAAGCACTGCGCTTTCTGCGATGCGGCATTGATGTCAAGAGCTTGCAGGAGTGCTCAAGGGCGAGGCGGCGTGTTGAAATCGCTTCGGTTCTTCCGCAGCTTCTATCAGGACGACAACCGGGTCTACAACTCTGCAATCCTGCTGGTGCCTCAGGCGCATCGGGACGACATGCACGAGAAGGCCGCCACTGCCAGGCCGACGCGCAGACCGAGGGCGGCTTCGTCGAGGCTCGCGGGCGCACAGTGGGAAGTCCTGTTGAAGAAGAGGCGGCGGGCGCAGGGCCAGCTGAACTCCGGCAAGAGCACGAAGTACTGGCGCAAGGTGAAAGCCGACCGAGCGAAAGTGAAGCGGAAGTTCTTCACGCAGAACGACTTGGAGCCCCCCGAGCCGAACGACATCGCGGAGAACGACGCCGGGCTCCCTGCGCCCGTCCTGACGGAGCGTGCCAAGATGGTGGAGCAGTGGTGCAAGCAGGGGTCCTGGGCCATGTGCGAGGCGTGCGGCTCCATGAACCCTCGCAGGATATGGAGCCCATCGATTGCAGGAGGGTGGCGAAGGCCACCGTCACCAAGCGCGCCTGCAAGAACTGCTGCGACGGCAAGATCAAGATCCCCACCTACGACGACATTCCGGAGCCCTTGCGAGACTTGCCAGACACGGTCATTGACGCCCTGCGCCCCTTGGACATAGATGTGGGGCCGTACCGGCGCGCGCAGTACGGATATCGCATGCACACCTCGATGATCCGGTTCGCTTGGCGCGAGGCGAGCGTGAAGAAGAACATGCAGGAGCTCCCCGAGAAGTACATGGCCTCCGCCGAGAAAGCGTACAAGTACCTGATGTCGTGCGAGGAGTCCGCCTACAGGGACTTTGTGGCAAAGCACAACAAGTTCCTGGCCAAGCACCGGGACGGTGCCGACGAGAAGGCGCGCAAAAGGCCCTTGCAGTTCTTGGAGACGCGCGGCCTCGAGAATTGCCTCTGGCCGCATCTCTACTGGAGCGAAGACATGTGCGAGACGGTCGTTCGCTCCACCGATGTCCGGCGCCTGGCTCGCAAGAAGAACACGACCAGCGCAGAAGATGCGGGGCAGCGCAACGCGAAGTCCTTCGCGGAGCAGATGGAAGACATCGACAACGACCAGTCGGACGAGGAGGACAACAGCGGCAGGCACTCCATCAAGAGGTCCTTTATGCGGAAGGTCCTGGGACCGCTCGTGGGCTACTCCGAGTGCTGGGACCTTTTGCAGTTTGTGTACGACTTGGCTCTGTGGTCTCGCATCGGCGGGGGCAAGAACGCCTGCAAGGGGTTGCCTCTGCGACTGGTCTTGAAGGGCGAGACGTTCTCGCCCTTGTACTTCAAGACACGGCACCAGGCGCTCCTCGACCTGCAGCGACAACGTGGCCACCCGCAGCTGTTTAAGACGATGGCGCCGTGGGAGCCCAGCTTCCCTTACCACAGCTGGATTCTAGACGAGATGCGCAAGTGCGGTCGCCGGCGCGGCGGTTCCAGCGCCCAGGGCGAGATCGAGCAGGAGCTGGCCGGCCTGGAGACGCTGCACCACGCCCACGTCTTCACCGAGCTCGAGCGCGGCCTCTACACGGGGTGCAACAAGCGCCGGGACTCGGACGGCAAGCAGGCGTGGCGCGAGCACATCCTGAGCGCGGACGAGACAGCTGCGGAGGGCCCGTACGAGGAGACCTCGGCCGCCTTCTTCTTCCGCTTGGAATACCAGGATGGCAAGCGCAAGAAAGCCACGCAGGCGTACCATGGAAGCGGCCGCGTGCACTGCCACAGCTTGAACTACCTGGAGAAGCCAGAGCGCATCGGCCTGCAGCACAAGGTCGCGGCCACTGTGCCGCCCGACGAGCAGGTGGCTTTGAAGGGCTACATGTTGGGCAGACCGCACACGGCGGGAGCCGAGACCGGATGGCCCGTCCGCCATGAAGAGAGTGTCTGGGATGACGACAAGCTGCAACTCCGCCTGCGCCACACGCAAGAGGACAAGGATGCCGGCCACAGGGCTTACTTTCCAGAGACGTTGGAGATCACGAAGTGTCATCAGGACGCGGTGGTGGCCAACGACAGGGGGCCGCTGCTGAAATACTGCGCCACCTACACGCCCAAGTTCAGCGACGCCTTCCAGAAGGAGTGGCTGGTGGACGAGGCTTCCGCGTTCTCCGTGGCCAGGCGCGTCCTCTTCGACTACAAGCCCTGCGAGCCCGAGATGTGGCTCTACCTCGCGGCCAAGACCTTCCCTCCCTGCAGGCACAGCGGAACCATGGTGGAGCTGCGCGCTCCCTGGCCTAGCATGCATGCGGACCAGGTGCCCAAGGCTGCGACGAACTACATGGCTTCGAAGTGGCGGAACGACAAGATGACTTTGTTGGAGTTCGTCCGCAAATCCAACGAGGATGGCCAGGTCGCTCACTGGATCAAGCAGCGGCACAAGCGCGAAGGTTCTGTTCTGTCTCTCGAGGCCTACGCCAATGAGGTTCCCACGCGAGGCGAGAAGCTCGTGGCGGTCGACATGGTGAACATCATGAACGAGCGTTACTTCTTTCAGCGGGTCGCCTTGCACGTCGCTTTTCGAAGTCTAGCTGACCTGGAAGATGCAGAGATCAAGGAGAAGGTCCCCCAGCAATACGTGCCCTTGGCAAACGCTTTGAAGCTAAGGCCAGAGTTCTGGAACAACGACGACGAGATCGTGAAGGCTCTGGAGCTGGAGGCCATGGGCAAGACGAAGGTGAAAAGCTTCATCTCGAAGACGAAGGCAGAGAAATTTCTGATCGGCAAGTACCTGGCCGGCGAGCTCAGCAGAGAGGACGACGCAGGCGCCAAGTCTCTGCTGAAAAGCGCTGGGCTGCGCGGCAACAGCTCCGACGAGGACGACGAGGTTTCCAAGTTGACGCTCAACGCGCAGCAGAGGTTCCTGGAGGAAAGCGTCATGACCAGAGTCGACTTCGTCCAGAAAGCCAGGCAAGTGGAGGACGAGGACGAGCTGGACGACATGCTGGCCGAGGCCCGGAAGAAGGCCAGACCCATCGCGGGCCTCGGACCCCCCGGCACCGGCAAAACCACGGTGGTGGACAAGTGCGCCAGGAAGGTGGTCAGGCGTGGAGGACAAGTGCTCTACGCATTGCCAACGGCTCAGCATGCCTCCAGAGTCCGGGCTCGCCATCCGACCATCGATGTCGACACGTGCGCAGCCGCCTTCTACCTGTACAAGGACGACGTGACCGAGCACCTCGACAGCCTCAACCAGTACGACCTTATCGTCATTGACGAGGTCTCGCAGCTCAGCTCCGAGGACTTCGAGCGGATCATGCTCATGTGGGAGGCCGCAGAGAAAATGCCTGCGTTGGTGCTGACAGGCGATTTTTGGCAGCTTCCCGGAGTGTCCGGTACGCAGGCCGACGAAAGCCCGAAGTGGAAGCAAGTGTTTGTGATCGACCTTCACGAGATGTGGCGTTGCAAAGACCCCGTGTTGCGGACGAAACTGCTGCAGCTCCGCACGGCCATGCCCGACAGGGAGCAGGTCAAGGAGATCTGCAGGGGCCACAAAGCTTGGACACACCGCGGCGACCCGACGCTCGAGGAGGTCAAGGCGATCCTAGGAAAGTGCCAAAGCGTCAACATGGCGACTTGCA